TGAAGCATTTGAAGCAGATGAAATCACCAGAACCCATTCCACTCAACTATGCATACTCCCAAACACTGAAGTAGAGGACTGAACAGACACTTACAATGTCGGCGGCTTTTTGGACCCCCTATAAATGCAATGAAGATAGCTGTTAAGTACGCTGACACTAAGGAACTAGGGCTGGCCAAACAACTTCCCAATGGAAAGCCACAGTATTAACTAATGAGCACTATTCGTAACTACTAGAACGGCTAACCGAGCTTTGGTCTTCTTCCCTTTGGCCGTTGGTAAACTAGCTTCTTCCAACACCACAGGAGCAGAGGCACTACAATAAATTTACAAAGCCTTCTTACTTGAGTTCCCAATTCCGCTTGTCTTTAACGCTGTAATTCAAACTCTTCATCGTCTCACCTTGGCTCGGCGGCTATTTCCAATCCGACAGTATCACCTGGCGACGTAGTGACAATCTGTTGATCCGGTGTATCATCGCCCGCCACGCTCAGAGATCCTAAACTCTCTCTGAAATATAACAGCAGGTAACAGGCAATAATTCCCTAGCTCGAAAGTGATGACAAACCAATTAATAAAGGGGGTACAAACACACACACACACACACACAAACGCACGTGGAACAGCAAATAAACGACCTCATCTCCATCAAGCCCAATTTATACAGACAACTGGCAAAAACGATAAACTTCACAAACACTAAGTGCCTGTGAAATTACTTACACTGAGGCCAATTCTGCAAAATATTTGAAGGAAACACTGAAAAGTTTCGCTAAAACGACAGTTGCAATACTAATAATATACATTTCCACCTGCCCTCCCATCGATTCAACAACTCGTTGCAGGATTCAATTTGCATTAAAACAATAAGTGTGGAAAATAGAGTACCTAGACACAACTGCCTACAATCCCAACCAGCCACTCTTTAACTCACCTCAGCAATGCCTCATAAATAAGCAGATTTAGAATTTTTAAAACAAATAGGCATCGAATGCATGAAGCGTACGAGGGAGACGGCGTGGAAAAACTCGATTGCCAAGCACCTCCACCTCCTCGATCTTGGAAGCCACTGCCTCTGCTACCACCTCGACCACCACGATCCTGGAATCCACCCCTTCGGCCACCCCGCTCATGAAAGCCAGCACCTCTGCCCCCGCGATCATGAAATCCACTGCCGCGTCTACCCCGGTCTTCAAATCCACCACCTCTACCTCCACGATCCTGGAAGCCACCGCCTCGTCCACCCCGTTCTTGGAAGCCACCGCCTCTACCTCCACGATCCTGGAAGCCACCACCTCGACCTCCACGATCCTG